ATTCTGTTCGTGTGATTCAGAGTAGTGACTGTTTCTTCCACTGGATTGGAAACTCCATGGTGGAAGAAATTATCTCTACTTTTCTTTTTGTTGTTGTTTGTTTTTTTAGTGTATCATCTACTTAAAAGGATCCCCCCCCCTTTTTTTTTAACATCAAGTCATTCGTACATAGATCATAAATACATTTATGCCAGTATAGGATTCAATGTGTTGATTATTTGTATAAATTGGAATGCTTACATCCTACTAAGCAACATAGCCTTCGCCACTTTGGGAACATATTGCACAAGTTGGATTTATCTCTACGTGTGTCTGTTATCCTTAGCACAGCAGTTGGCATAGATTAAGTGCCCAGTAAATGCCTTGAATGACATGAATACAAGCTGGAATCTCAAGATAACAAAAGTGAAAAGTGAAAACCATGTTAACTCAATTATTAGTTGAATTCCAAGATGGAGGAGGCAGGAAGCAGGCAGTTTGTATCTTAGGCACCTCAGAGGGTAGTTATAGACCCACTAAGAAAGCAGATAGAGGAGGTGAGTGTGCCTGAAGAACTGGATGTGAGGCATGTTGAATTTGAAATATTATTATGGCACCCAATGTAAATGTTCAAGGGGAAGTTGAAGATGTAAATGCTGTGTGATTTATTGGTAACTTTATACAGTCATTCAAATGTCTTTCTATTTTGGGCTTTACTTTCCTTGACACCATGTTGGTCTGAGTGTAGTATCATGAAGCCACTGTTCTTCACAGGCAAGTTAGTGCTATTTAGTGCTTTCTGAAGATGTGCTATTTTTAAAATTTTTACTTTATTTAATTATTTTACATGGTTTCCAAATTACTTTATTTATTGCTATTGATAACTGTTAGCTATACATATTTTCAGGGTACATGTGATAATTTGATAACATTTGTATAGTCAAATCAGGGTAATTGAAACAGCCATCACCTTGAATATTTATTTTTTCTTTACCATAGGAACATTCAAATTATTACTGAGTATATATTATTGATACACTGAACTATTAAGATCTTTAGGTCAATATTTAGGTCTTTATTTTCCCTAGTTAGGTTTTTCATGCCACTGATTTTCTTCAAAGCTAGTTCTAGAAAAATAAAGCATCTAAATTTGTCATGACTTACAATTACTAACTGATAATGTATGCAGAAATAAGATAATGTATGCTAATAAGTGTTTGCGTCAAAGAATCTTCCTCTTTAAAAACATGGGTCAGCACCTAAGATTTCAGAAGAAACATCAAAGAGATGAGAGAAAGCACAGTAAGTACATTTCACCCAGTGCTGGAAGAAGCTTTTTGAATGGGTAGACGAGAACACATTGAAGTTAGCAGGTGTAGGCCCTGTGGACTGGGCAAGTATAATGCAAAAAGCTCTGTGTGTGATGTTTTTCAAGGGAACCATATATAATCTACAAGAATTGCATTATTTAGCTTGTTAAAATAATACATAATAAACCACATTCCAGTATGAAAGGGTTCAGTTACAGCAAGAAAACAATGCAACAGATATTAGGAATTCTCTAAACTAATTCTCTAGTCAGATCCCTTTTTCTGCTTAATTGGCATTTAGATAGTACACTTCAACAGGTGACTTTTCAAACTGGAAATAAGTTTGCCACATAGAAAATACTTAAATGCTAGTCTAATTGTGAAGTGTTGAATTTTAGCATATCAAATATTAACCAACAGAAAATTATTTTTGTCCTTATTCTTATTTTAGGAATTTTTATTTTTGAAAATTTTTAGCATCAGCATAATATTTTGCTTTTAGAAATATTTTACATAAAGCTTATTCTTATGAGTAAATTTTCTTATGATGCCATGAGGTATTTTAGTAAGATTATCAGTGTTTTACACATAAGTATATCATCATCTTAAATATATATATCTCTCTATATATTCAGAGTTTTCTGGAATAGGCCAATGGATGGCTAGTATGAGCCTCAGTGAGTGTAATCTAAACACTGTTACTGAACTGTCAATTTGATATTCCATTTTCTCTTCTCAAGAGCAGTTTTTGAAATAAACTTTTCTATCCCAAGCTCATTTTCTTCTGAAGGTTGGATTTCTGCTACTACAAAGTAGAACAGGCCATAGTTTTTCAATGTGTAGGTTGTGACTAAGGTTTAATCGGGCTGTAGAAATTAAAATTTAATAATTTTCCTGTCAGTTAGGTATTTTCAAGTCATCACTCATTAGGTCAATCTTTTTCTGAATAAATGGAATATCTAAGTCTCTGGCTTAGTCCATTCACTCTGTTATAACAAAACACCATAGACTGGGTGGCTTTAAATTAAAATTTGCTTCTCACAGTTCAGGGGGCTGTGAAGTCCAAAACTGAGATGTGTGCAGATTCAGTGCTGGTAAGGACCTGCTTCCTGGGTCATAGGTGGTACCTTCTTGCTATGTTCTCACGTGGCAGAAGGGCCACACTAGCTCTCTGGGGGGCACACAAATCCCATGCTGAGGGCTCTGCTCTCATAACCCAAAGCCCTATCTCCTAATACTTTTACCTTGGGGATTAGGTTTCAGCATATGAATTTGGGGAGACATAAACGTTCAAACTATAATAGTGTCCTACTGAACTATTGGGGGAAACGGTCAGGGAAAGGGTTATTTGAAATAGGAAGTCTTGTATTCTAGTATTTCTTTGGCTGTTACCAGCTTCACTTGGGCCACATGCTCTCACAGCAGCCTTTCATTAGGTTAATGCTACTACGACTACTAATAATAGCCAAGACTTACTGTGTGTATACTACATATATACCACATAGAGCGCTAAGTATTTCTCATGCATTACCTCATTTAATCTTTATAACATACGTATACATATAGGCAAAAAGGGAAAGATGTACAGTTTGGGAGTAATTTGACTCATCAACTTCCTTCCATCTTTTGACATGGAGGAAAGATTATTTTTTAAATTTAATTTTTATTAGATCATAACTGTATACATTTATGGGGTACAATGTGATGATTTGATATACAATGTGGAATAATTAAATCAAACTTGTTAACATAACCATTACCTCATTGGATTAGAGCTTTTAATGCTCTGATTGGCCCTTATATTTCTTACATAACATGTTATGGTGCCTTGTGAATAGTAATTAATTAAGAAGGATTTGTGGGGGAAATAGTAACACTTTTAAAATAAGTTTAACGTGGCTGCTGTAGATGCTGTGCCAGTTGTGCTTTAGCAGCTTTGCAAGTCATTGTTTTCAGGCTGTCCTCACCCACAGTGATTCTTCCTGTTAGGATGTTTTTCCTTTCTCGTAGTGGGAGAGGGTCTCCCAGAGTAACTGTGCCCATGGTCATTATCTCCCCCAGGGCATAGGCAAATTTGTTTTAGAAGATCAGTAAAAAAAAAATATGCAGAGTAGACCAAAATGCTCTGCTCCAATCATAGGTCCATCCTATGTGACCAGATATACATTAAAAAATGTGCTAGGAAAGCTTTATTATTATACTTAAACTTTTAAAACACGCAAGTTTATATTCATGTTCCATGTTTTTCACAGATATTTACAACCGCCTTTCTGTTTAATACAATTGTTATTCTTTCCCCTTGAATACTCTCTGGCATATTCTACATGTAATATGTAGTAGGTCATGTGAATTGAAAAACTTTATGAATTAAACTGTTTCATAGGTGTCTCCCAATTTATTTTAAAGAGATATTCTAGCTTTCTTTCCATCATTGGTCCAAAATATTTTTACCAAAAAGTCTGACTTTGACTCCAGAGTAAAGTAAGCAGGGTTTAAAATCTGGTCTTGTCACATTCTGTCTCCGAGGTCCTAGACAAACTACCGTTGCTAAGCCTTAGTTTCCAACACCCAATGTTTAGGATTCTTGTGGGAATAAGGGGGCAGTGTGTGTTCAGCCTCAGTACACTGCCTGCCCTGACATCTGCTCAAGAAACGTCAGCAATTATTTTCACTTTTGGTAGTGTTAGGAGTAATATTTTCAGTAGCAGTAAGTCATTACTTAAAGTTAGATTTCTTTTAAACAATAAATTATTTTAAAATGATTTGTAAGTTTAACTGTTTCATGCATTTGGTAGACTTGAAAAACAAATGATAAAACTTAGTTTCTATACTGCTGTATAGGGCTTTTAATGCTCTGATTTGTTGCAAAACAAATTAGGTTAAAATGTACAGATGAGTCACACACTGAGACACATCTTGTACCCTGAATGAATCCCCAACAATAAAAAAAAGTATACTAATATATTATCTAAAAACAAATTTCAAAAACATTCTTAATATAGCAATTTCATGATTTGACAAATTAATAAATTCTTCATAGTGTAAGACATAACTTAAGAAATCAAACTAGTTTTAAATAAGATGAAAAATCATACATCAAATAAATGTTATTCCACTCAAAACAAAAAAAGATTTCTGAGTAGCAATCATGTCATCAAAATGGAAAATTTCCACCAGGAAGGCAAAGCAGTTCACAACACTAGCAAGCGTCACTGGTAGGAAGAAGATGATTTCCTTAAATCCCTTCCATGTGAGAATTACCAAATTAAAAACAAATGTACAGATGATATGCTTACTGTATTCAACAGCACATGTTTTAAACATATATATTAAAATCACTGGGCAAATCGACTTCAGAATAATATCACACAAGCAGTGGTGAAAGTCAGATTGATTTGGTGTTTCTGGATGAATGGGTTGGTAGCTTTCTGTCATCTAGTTCCTTTACTATTTTTCCTGAGATACATAAAATGATATATTTTTGTTTTTCAGTCACTCAAGACTGCTTGCAACTGATTGCAGATGGTGACACACCCACTATACGGAAAGGTAATAAAACAGCCCCAACTTTGTCCAGGTAGAACTCTGTCACCTCCAAGTGTCTGTAAGCTTCACTTCTAAAGATGACATTTGGACTGCATCTCCAATAGCTGCCCATCACAAAACTTTAGTGTAACACAACAGATTTATTGAAAATAACAAAAGAATAAATATTCAGAGTAAAGTAATAATTTAATAATCAGAATGACCTTACAGGCACTAATATTTAAACATTTTGAATAATTGGCCTGCAACAAAATAAAATCAGTTCTAAATCAAACTTAATTTTTTTCTTCTTTAGAAATCATTTTATTTTCTAGAATAATTAAAGACCATCTTCACAAATATTAATTCTCCTATTATTTTTCAGTTGAAAAAATTGTAATAGGGTGAAGAGGAAACTGTGAACAGATCATAAAAAATGATTATTTTTGCTAAATAGCCAATGTCAAATTAATGATTCATAATTTACCATTTACTTATAGAGAGGTATAATGTTTTAAAGTTTTCAGTTATTTGAAGCTTTCTTCATAGCTATAATTATAAACAAATAGCGTTTTCTGTAATAATGACCTGAAACCAGGCTCAGGGAGAATAATCTTTTAAGGCCATTTCCCAAATATATCACCTAGACTACTAATCCAGAGAAATGGCCCGTGAAATAAGACTTTGATTGTGAAATAAATTTGGAAACACAGCATCCCAGTCACAAGGCACATAACCAGGTGTTGGATCTGAGACGTCCTACTCTAAAAGACACAGTTAAAAACTTCGTTTCTCAAAGGTTTTCACAAATTCATGTGACTATATCACTCTAGCATGTCTCAACATCTTCCTTAAAGCAAAATACTATTTTGGGAAATGTTCCTCAATAGCTGTTTATTCAAGCTAACTGGTGAACAAAATGTATTAGAAAAGAACCATTCATTATTTCACTCATTCATTCATTTATTTATTTTACAGTGTATAAATTAACATGCAATATCTCAATTGCTGTGGGAACACCAGGGGTAGTGAAAAATCAAACATGTCCAGGTGGTCCTCAGTTGGCAATGGGACCACTTTTGGATAAACCCATCCTAAACTGAAAACATCACCTAGGTTGAAAATGCAGTGATAGGCCTAACCTGCTGAGCATCGCAGCCAATCCTGGCAGAGCCTCAACATCGATAGGCCTAACCTGCTGAGCATCACAGCCAATCCTGGCAGAGCCTCAGCATTGATAGGCCTAAACGTGCTGAGTGTCACGGCCAATCCTGGCAGAGCCTCAGCACTGATAGGCCGAACCTGTTGAGCCTCACAGCCAGTCCTGGCAGAGCCTCAGCATTGATAGGCCTAACCTGCTGAGTATCATGGCCAATCCTGGCAGAGCCTCAGCATTGATAGGCCGAACCTGTTGAGCGTCACGGCTAGTACTGACAGAGCCTGAGCATTGATAGGCCTAACCTGTTGGGCATCATGGCCAATCCTGGCAGAGCTTCAGCATTGATAGGCCGAACCTGTTGAGCATCACAGCCAATCCTGACAAAGCCTCAACATCGATAGGCCTAA